CCACACTCACTGAACACCAATCACCTCTGAGCTCTCTTATTCATCTGAACATCAAACTGCACCCACAGTGGCACAGTGAAACAGCACAGTCATCTCTCTGAAAGTGTATATACAAACAATTCAAGACTGTAGTGATTAATATTCCCAATATATTAAGTCATAAGTTGGTGATTTTTCTCTTTTTTAATATCATTATTTTTAAGTTTATTTTAAAATTATAGCTGGCATACAAATATATTAGTTTTAAGGACAACCTCATGATTAGACATTTATTTAATTTATTCAGTAATCATCCTGAATAATCTTGTACCCCTCTAATACCAAACAAAGGCACTACAATATTATTGACTATATTCTTTTTTTTATTGTTGTTCTAGTATAATTTTCTCCATTTTTGCCCCACCCCCCCACCTCACAACACCCATTCCACTACCCACTCTTGAACCTGCCCCCTTTGCCTTTGTCTATGTGTCCTTCATATATGTTCCTTTATGACCCTTTCCCTCTTTTCCCCCATTATTCCTCTCCCCTCTCCTGTCTGGTTACTGTCAGTTTGTTCTTTATTTCAACATCTCTGTTTATATTTTGCTTGCTTATTTGTTTTTTTGATTTAGGGCCCACTTATAAGCCAGATCATATGGTATTTGTCTTTCACCACCTGGCTTACTTCACTAAGCATTAATGCTCTCCAGTTCCATCCATGCTGTCAGGAAGGGTAAGAGCTCCATCTTTCTTTCAGTGGAATAGTATTTCATTGTAAAAATGTACCATAGCTTTTTGATCCATTCATTTACTGATGGGCACCTAGATTGCTTCCAGCACTTGGCTATTATAAATTGTGCTGCTATGAACATTGGGGTGCATAGGTTCTTTTAAATTGGTGTTTCAGGATCCTTAGGGTAAACTCCCAGCAGTGGAATTGCCAGGTCAAATAGAAATTCCATTTTTAGTGTTCTGAGGAAATTCCAAACTCTTTTCCACACTGACTGCACCAGACTGCATTCCCACCAACAATGCACTAGAGTTCCCTTTTATCCACAACCTTGCTAGCAATTGTTGTTTGTTGATTTTTTTATGATGGCCATTCTGACCAGTGAGAAGTAGTATCTCATTGTGGTTTGAATTTGCATCTCTGATAGCTAGTGATGCTGAGCATATTTTCGTATGTCTCTGGGCCCTCTGTATGTCCACTTGGAGAAGTGTCTGTTCAAGTCCTTTACCCATTTTTTAAATGATAATTTTTCTTAATACACATTATATAAGAGAGCTTGTGCAACAGTTTATGAGGAAGGGTGAATGTTGTTTCTAGATTATCAGTGTTGCAATGGGTGATGTAGAACCTTGAAGAATTCTCAAAAGAGTGACCCATTTCAAAATTGCATAGTTTAACAAAGAATTTGAAAATTCAGTTATATGAAAATTTTGATAAAGGAAAGCTGATAGCATGTAATGTATATTGCAGAAGTTTAATCCATTTTTTCAAATCAGTAGAGTTTTACAAGCCAATACATACAGTCACTACCTGCACAGAAAATGATTCCAACAAAATTAGCTTGACGTAAAGTAGAATTTGTGTATAATGTTCACTCTGACTTATTTTCCACCTCTCCCTTTCTCCTGTCCATCTCTTGGGTACACTGCTAACCCACATAGTTGATTCTGATCAAACCACACTCAGCTAGTCAAATTAACTATTGTTTTCTCCCTATACTGCTATTATTGTTCCTTATTTTTTTTCTTTCTTCTCTTCATTCTTGTTACTTCTACTTTCAGAGACATATATAAGAAACTAAAATAACTGGGGAATTGGAATAATTTCTAGGTCATCGGGTTTAGGGGTTTTTTAGTAATAATTTAAAAATTGAAAACAAGTCATAAAGATGTTTGCTGTTGAGCTTTCATGCTGACAATGACCAGTAACATTCTTTTTCCTGGGCATCTGCTCAGAGAATCATTCCCACAATGGATTTATGGATTCTGGGCTTCAGCTTTTTGAAGTTTACATTGAGTGACAGAGCTGAAAAACTGAGATGAACATTACACAGACACTGTTAGCCCTCTCCTCATCTTTGATGTCTTTAATTTAACTGGCTCACATGCTCACTGCTCTCTCCTGTTTTAAGTCTTCAACCTTCCAGAGCCACAAGACAAATGTCATTAATGTAAGTCCTACACTGTTCTCTAGTGGACTGAAACCATCAATAAAGAGGACTTAGACCTACTAACTTCAGCTGTCACACAACCCCAGCCATATTCACTGCATGTTTTCTGATGAAGGAAATGCAGATAGTCAGAAACACATAACTGCCTCGATTGAATGAGGTTTAGAAATGAACTTAATACTACTTTTAAAATATCATTTGATTAAAATTATTATCTTAAATTATTTGGTAAATCTTATCTTAGGATATTTACTTGATTTCAAAATGAATCCATAAACATTTAATGATATTTTAGTGTAGTTCAGTGTAGTTGGGACAATTCACTAGGTCTTAAGAATATGTAAAAGAGGATAACATACTAATTTACGGGCTACTTGGTGAGACAAAGTGTACATAACTGCAATGCAGTCAAAGAGTAGAATCATAAGATTACTGAAAATGAAAAGTTTGTGTGATCCTAGAGGAAGAAACACTACTTACATTCAAGGTGGTTGAACAAAAATCCTATGAAAAAGGTGGTAATTTTCTCCTTTCCCCCTTTCTTCTTGAGAAGAATAGAGAATACTGATAAACTTTTACAATGGCTTATGACTTTTTACTTATTTTAACAATAGGAAAAATTCATGAATATATGAATTATTAAAAGTATTAAAACATTAGATATAGACTAAAATTTCCTTTCAAACCACTCCCAATTCTCACTCCTCCTTCACTTATTACCCTAAATCTTTCTTCATCCTGATCAATTTGGAGTTGATCCTTCCAGATGTTTTAATATACATTAACAAACATATACCAAATATATAATTCAAGAGAAAATATATAGTATTTTATTTACAAGTTTTCTAGTCATAATAGAAAATGATACATATCAAGTATACCTTTCTGTGACTTGCTCTACTAACTGAATAAGTCTAGTGGGGCTTATTATGTTAACACACATAAGTCCTTCTACTGCATTATTCACACGCACACATGTTTCTCTAGGAGCAGAGACTAGGATGAAGCGGAGGAACAAGCCCTCAGGACAGTAGGTGAAAATCACTCCAAGCAGAGGGAAGATCAGGAACAAACACTCTGAGGGAGGATGGAGTGAATTCATGTTCTGATTATTGTGTAAAATGAATTTCTATTTTATTCTCCCTAATGCAGACTAGAACTGTACTTTATGAGCCAATTTGAAATTACTGTTCTCATATATAGCTGTTTTGTAGTTTGTTCAAGCAAACACTGAGGTCATTCTAAAACAGTGAATCAGCAAGAGAAAAAGTAACCCAAGGACAAGTGTGGAGTGTAGTAGGCTGGAACTGTTATAGAATAACACACACACACAATTTAAGGATGCTTGTTTAAAAACAGAGACACTTTACATTTTCTAAATCTACAGGAAGAAATGCAACAGAACAGAGACTACAAAAGAAAAAAAAGAAGAGCATGTAACACAAAACCAAAATATTAGAAATATTAGCAAGGAGTCCAAATATGTCAGAAATCAAAAATATATAGAAAGAGATTATTTGATTGAATCAAAATTTTAAAATCTTGCTATATATTGTTTAAGAGACAAACCTAAAAGAAAATAACCTAGAAATCTGAGAAGATAGGAAGGGATTCTTCCCCTTTGTGCAAAGACTGGAGTCTCCCCCTCCCCCACCACACCCACCAAAGACACCAAAGAGATATCCCAAAGGAAGACTAATTCTGCTGAAGACAGCCAATGAAGACTCCATGAGAAACACCAAGTTAGTGAACTAAGTTAACTCCTACATAGGTGAGATCAAAGAAAAAAAAACAGATTCAAAGAATTAATATTCAACAAGTATAGACATAGAGAGTATTGTGGTACATGAAATAAGTCAGAGAGCAAGACAAATACATACGATTTCACTTATAGGTGGAATCTAAAAAACAAAATGGACAAAACAAAATAGAAACCAACTCACAGATACAGATAATAAACTGATGGGAGGGTGGTTGGGGGGATGAGTAAAAAAGGTGAAGAGATTAAGAAATACAAATTAACAATTACAAAGTTGTCACAGAAATGTGAAGTACAGCATAGAGAATATAGCTGATAATATTGGAATACTATGTGTGGTGCCAGGTGGGCACTAGACTTATAGGGGGAATCACATTTTTAGTTATAGAAATGTTTGTCCACTGTGCTATACACCTGACACTATTATAATATTGAATATCAACTATAATTGAATAATAAAACTATTTTTAAACTAATAATTAGATAGAAAAAAGAAAAGAAAAATGATACAGATGAAACATTATGTGGAAATTAAGATTTACAGAAAAGGATAAAACTAAGAAAATTCTATATCTTGACACAACAGAGAATAAAAAAGCCAAATGTTAATAACAGCTTTTACATTTTTTTCAGTGTTCCCTCAACCTCCATTCTTTTGCCACTTGGGACTTTTAAAAACTATTTATAAAAGCACATTTCTAAACCCTCTAAAAACACATTAAGAGAAGGTAGAAAACTTTAATCTTAAAAATTGCATATAATTATTCTGTGCACAAGTAATTAGTGGAAAATTTAATTGAGGGAGGCATTAGCTATCTTCATAAACTTCACATTTATTCACTAGAAATGCCAATTTTAATATCTTATTATATGAAATATATCACAAAAAGAAATTTGGACTCATATCAATACATACAAAATATCTTAAATATGTTAACAATTTATCTTTTTTATACCCATGTTTTAGTGAATTATTTATTAAATAAAAGCATTCCTTGTCTTAGATACTCCCATAGATAATTATGTATGGAGATCTGATTATCCTAACAAATGTATTATTACATGTAAAAGATCAGAAATTTTTATGTTAAGAGGTACTGTGTATTTGATATTAAATAATAAAATTCACTAGAGGACTCAGCAGCCATGTCCCTTGTTCTGCACAAAGTTTATGCTCAGCTTCCCCTGAAGTTTCTGTCACTGTGTCACTCAGAGCACAGTAGTATACTGCTGAATCTGACTCGTCCACTGAGTTTTTCTCCAAGTTGAAGGAATTTGGTTGTTGACGGTATGTGGCTTCAAAACCTTTGTTGAGTCCCTTCTTATTGGCCGTTTCAGCTTTCAGAAGGAGCATTGGACCTTCTCCAGGATACTGAACATACCACATGAGAGCAGGGTAACCTGTGGCTTCATAGGAGCAGTTCATGGTCAGGGAGTCCTCTTTTGAGAGGGTGACTTGGCCTTTTGTCTGGGTCACTGAGTCTCCACAGGATCGTCCTAGAGAAAAATTAGAGAGATCTATGTTTTCTTCCCTTGGGCATAAAAAGCTCTTAAAATATAATAATAATTAAAGAAGTAGTTAGCTGACAGAAGAAGAATCTATGTTTTAAGAGGCATGTTACTTACCAAGCACTAAAAGTACCACAGTCACTAAGCCTGGAGATGAGTTCATCTCTACAGTGTTGCCTAAATAAAGTTCTTGATACTTAACATGAAGAAATGTTGAAGGCACAGTAAAATGACAAATCATAGCCTACATTTCAGCAGGAAATGTGTTTTTGTTTGTGGTGGGAGGCTGCACCCCCTAGTGAGCAGGTACTGAAATGGCATGCTTTTTTTTAAATTATATTTTATTGATTATGCTATTACAGTTGTCACAATTTTTCCCCCTCTGCCTCCCTTCACCCAGGACCCCCCACTCTCTCAGGAAATACCCCATGGGTCATGCATATAAGTTCTTTGGTTATATTTCTTATATTGTACTTTACATCCCCATGGTTATTCTAGAGCTACATTTTGGTACTTCTTAATCCCCTCACCTCTTCACGAATTCTCCCATACGCCCCCTCCCATATGACAACCATCAAATGCTCTTCATATCCATGATTTGTCTCTATTCTTCTTGTTTGCTTTGTTTAGTTTCAGATTCAATTTTTTTAAGATTTATTTATTTATTTTTAGAGAGAGGGGAAAGGACAAAGAGAGGGAAAGAAACACTGATGTGTGAGAGATACATCAATCAGTTGTCTCTTGCACCCCCAACTGGGGACCTGGCCCACAACCCAGGCATGTGCCTTGACTGAGACTCAAAGCAGCAACTTTCTGGTTCAGAAGCCGGTGCTCAATCCACTGAGCCACATCAGGCAGGGATGGTTTTTAGATTCAATTATCAATAGGTATGTGTTTATTGCCATTTTATTGTTCATACTTTTGATCTTCTTCTTTTTCTTAAATAATCCCCTTTAACATTTCATATAATAATGGTTTGGTAATGAAGAACTCTTTCAGTTTTTTCTTCTCTAATAAGCTCTTTATTTGCCCTTCAATTCTAAATGATAGCCTGGGTAGAGCAGTCTTAGCTGTAGGTCCCTATACATGAATAATATATAGAAAGAACCCTAGAGATTCCACTAAAAATCTACTAGGACTGTAAATGAATTCAGTAATATAGCAGGATACAAAATTACTATTAAGAAATTGGTTGCATTTTTATACACTAAACATAATCTATCTGAAAGAGAAATCAATTCTGTTTACCATTGCATTAAAAATATGAACAAAATGCATAGTAATACGTTTAACCAAAATGGTAAAAGATCTGTACTCAAAAAATTGTAAGACATTACAGAAAGATGCCCATAAGTAAATGAAAGGATCAAAAAACTATGCTACATTTGCACAGTAGAATACTATGCAGCAGAAAGAATGAAGGAACTACTACCTTTTGCAACAGCATGGATGAAACTGGAGAGCATTATGCTAAGTGAAATAAGCCAGATGGTGACAGACAAAAACCATATGACCTCATGTAAAAGTGGAACCTAGTTAACAAAACAAACAAATGAGCAATGGGGCAAAAGGCTAGCCAACTGTAACTGAACAACAATAATTAAAAAAAATATATAAATAAATTCCAGCATATATTATCCTCATGATAGCAAGAATTAACATTATTAAAATGTCCAAAGTAATATATAGGTTGAATGCAATCCCTATCAAAATACCAGTGGCAGACTACTGGCCAAGATGTAGGCATAGGTAGACACACTGTGCCTCCTTGCACAACCAAGAGAAAGACAACAACAACTTAAAAATAAAAAACAACCACAACTGACAGAAAATCAAACTGTATGGAAGTCTGACAACCAAGGAGTTAAAGAAGACATCTTCATCCAGACTGGTAGGAGGGGCAGAGACGGGCAGCCAGAGTGGAGAGGACTCTCAGCAAGGCTGCAGCTGGTGGACAGGGCGGTCCCACATTTGCATGCAGATAAACCAGGCAAAACAAAGTGGGAGTGGGAACTCCCGGCCCCATAGGCAAATTTGTTGGAGAGACCCACAGGGTCCTAGAACATACACAAACCCACCCACACAGGAATCAGCATCAGAAGGGCCCAATTTGCTTGTGGGAAGCGGAGTGAAGTGGCTGAAATGCAGCAGAGAGCAGAGCAGATGCCATTGTTTCCTCTCAGACCCCTGCCCCACATACAGCATCACAACCCAGGGACATGGGTCACCCACCCTGGTGAACACCTAAGGATCTGCCCTTCACTTCATAACAGGCATGTAAAGACAAAAAAAAAGGCCTGAACGAAAGAACAGATCAAAGATCCAGAAAGGATATAACTAAGTGATGAAAAGATAGCCAACCAATCAGATGCACAGTTCAAAGCACTGGTGATCAGGATGCTCACAGAATTGGTTGAATTTGATTGCAAATTAGATGAAAAAAATGAAGGCTGTGTTAAGTCAAGTAAAGGAAAATGTACATGGAACTAACAGTGATGGGAAGGAAACTGGGACTCAGATAAACAGTTTGGACCAGAAGGAAGAAAGAAGCATCCAATCAGAACAGAATGAAGAAAGAAGAATTCAGAAAACTGAGGAGAGGCTTAGAAACCTCCAGGACATCTTTAAAAGTTCCAACATCTGAATCATAGGGGTGCCAGAAGGAGAAGAGGAAGAGCAACAAATTGAAAACTTATTTGAACAGATAATGAAGGAGAACTTCCCCAGTCTGACTAAGGAAATAGACTTCTAGGAAGTCCAGGAAGCTCAGAGAGTCCCAAAGAAATTGGATCCAAGGAGAAACACAGCAAGGCACATCATAATTACATTAGCCAAGATTAAAATGAAGGGGCGAATCCTAGAAGCAGCAAGAGAAAAGGAGACAGTTACCTACAAAGGAGTTCCCATCAGACTGTCAGCTGATTTCTCAAAAGAGACCTTGCAGGCAAGAAGTGGCTGGAAAGAAGTATTCCAAGTCCTGAAAGGCAAGGACCTACATCTGAGATTACTCTATCCAGCAAAGCTTTCATTTAGAATGGAAGGGCAGATAAAGTGCTTCCCAGATAAGGTCAAGTTAAAGGAGTTCATCATCACCAGGCTCTTATTATATAAAATGTTAAAGGGACTTATCTAAGAAAAAGAAGATAGAAAACATGTACAGTAAAATGACAGAAAACTCACAATTATTAATAACCACACCTAAAACAAAAACAAAAACAAAACCAAACTCAGCAAACAACTAGAACAAGAGCAGAACCACAGAAATGGAGATCACATGGAGGATTATCAACAGGGGATTAGGAGGGGGAAAGAGGGGGAAGAGGTACAGAGAATAAGTAGCATAGATGGTAGGTAGAAAATAGACAGGGGAAGGGTAAAAATAGTATGGGAAAGGTAGAAGCCAAAGAACTTATAAGTATAACACATGGACATGAAATAAAGTGGGGGAATGTGGGTAGGAGAGGGTGTGCAGAATGGAGGGGAGTGAAGCAGGAGAAATGGCACATCTGTAATAGCATAATCAATAAAATATATTTTAAAAATACCAATGCCATTTTTTCAGCCTCACCAGAGGACACGCTTATTGATTTTAGAGAGATAGGAATGGATGGAGACAGAGAGGAAGAGAAACATCTATTTGAGAGAGAAACACAGACTCGCTGCCTCTCATATGCACCATGACCAGGACTGAACCCACAGCTTAGACATGTGCCCTGACCAGGATTCAAACCCACAACCAGACTACACAACAAGACTACAGTACAGCACTCCAACCAAATTCTGGGTCTCAATGGCTTTTTTTCAAAGAACTAGAATAAATTTATAATTTAGAATATCCTAAATTATATGAAACCATAAAAGAATCTGAATAGCCACAGCAATCTGGAGAAAGAAGAACAAAGTTGGTGGTATTATGCTATCTGATACCAAACTATACTACAAGACTATAGTAATCAAAACAGCATAATACTGTCATAAAACATAGATCAATGGAATAGAATAGAGAGCCCAGAAATAAACCCACACTTAAATGACCGATTAATCTATGACAAAGGAGGCAAGAATATACAGTGGGATAAAGACAGTCTATTCAATAAAGGGTGTTGGGCACATGCACTCAAGAAAATGAAACTATATCACTGTCTTACATAATATATGAGAATAAACTCAAAATGGATTAAAGACTTCAATGTAAGACCTGAAACAAAAACACTCCTAGAAAAAAATATAGGCAGTAAGGTCTCTGACATTGCTCTTAGTAATATTTTTTCTGATATCCTCTTGAACAAAGGAAACAAAACAAATAAAAAATGAGGATTACATCAAAATAAAAAGTTTTGCACAGCAAAGGGAACCATAAACAAAATGAAAAGACAACCTTCAGATCGGGAGAAGATATTCACCAGTAATACATTTTGGACTTTGTTTACAACATTGACTCATAATGCCTGACAGCCTCTGAACTGGAACATCGGCTCTCCCTGGGTCTCCCACATTACCAGCCCACCATGAAGCCTCTATAATCATGTGACCCAGTTCCTCATAATAAATGTGTATATATATATAATAAGCCCTTACTTAATGTTGTTGATAGGTGCTGTGACTTTAGGCAAAACAACATGCAATGAAACCAATTTTACTATAGGCTAATTGATATAAACAAGAATTAAGTTCCTATGGCATGTCCTCAATGTCATAATGAAACAACACTGAATGAAATGATGTTATTCAAGGACCTACAGTATCCTAACTCTATTAAATTAATTACACTATAATTAATCCCAATTAAATGTATATATGTATAAATGTAAAAAATAAGGACTTAATATCCAAAATTTATAAACAACTCATACAGCTCAATACCAAAAAACAATCCAACTGAAAAACTGGCAGAGGACCTGAATAAGCATTTTTCCAAAAACACATACAGATGGCCAATAGATATATGAAAAGATGCTCAACATCACTGATCGTGAAAGAAATGCAAACTGTAACCACAATGATATATCACCTCACAACTGTCAGAATGGCTATTATCAATAAACCCACAAACAAGTGTTAGCAAAGATGTGGAGAAAAGGGAGACTCCTGCATTGTTGATGGAACTGCAAATTGGTGCAGCCACTGCAAAGATTCCTAAAAACAAATTAAAAATGGAACTACCTTATAACCCAACAATTCTATCTCTGGATATTTATT